GAGCATGTATCAATGGAGGTTCATTTTCCTTAATTGGTCACATACGTAATGCCATATTACAAAACCAGTGGTCTTCATATGAGTATCTCAACTATGTCCAGACGTTGAAGATGCTTCACCAGAAAACTTTTACTGAAAGTGGCACTGTCAAAGCTATTGGAATCAAAATAGATTAAAATTCCCTCATGTTAACTGAACATTCACAGTGTATTTGTTACTGTCTCAGTTTCTGTTATTGTTCCTTTTTTAAACAAACACCGTATTAAAGTTTTGTTTTGAACATTTGGTTGTTTCTCAAAAAAGAAATAAGTGCCCTGTGCCAAGTGCCCTGTCTCGAATAAGCACCCTCCCTTGAGGTACTAAAGTAAATAAATCGAATCACTGCTGTAATTCTAGCAGAGAGGAAAACAAGACATTTCTGCAATCTACAAGTTTAAAAGTTTGCTAAAAGGAAAACATAAGAAACAAGGAAGCCAAAAATTATATCCATTACAACATCAGCAATAGTCCCCTTTAATTTTATTTTATAAAATTAGTGAAGACTATTATTTATATATTATTTGGACAAGCTTCAAACTGCACACTATACTAATCACATTAATTAGCTACTACTACAGAAAACTGGATCACTGATGTCACAGTGTATCATGCAAAGCAGAGTATTTTAAATGAATTTTGGGGTGTTGATGAAACACTGTCATGAGTGCTTGATAAGTCTTCTCAATCAAATCTAAAACTATGGTGTGCAGAATGGTGAATAAAATCTATGTTTATAAGCTAAGCTAATTAATAATAAGCTAATTATTACTTAGATTAGATATTCTAACCACTGTAAGTTACAAGTATTTTCTTTGATGGTAACAAAATGGGGTTTGTGATTCTATATCATGTTGAAATTTTTACTGTGAAACTAATAGATCCAGTTCAGATGTTGTACTTCTGCCATGCCGAGCTAAATTCCAGAATTAAGTTCCACAAAAGCATGGCAGAATTGCGGCATTTGAATCAAACTTTTGAACTAAGTTCGGCAAGCAATCAAGTTCAACAAGCTCTGGCGTGAAATGCAACTGTGGCACCGCAGCGATTCAAACGGCGTGCTTCTGTTGTGCCAAACAAAATTTGTAAATTATGTTAATGTGTTTTGGTGACAAAAATTGTTATGAGGCATCAGTAAATCCTGAATTTGGTTCGACTCTGGCACGACGTCTGAATCAGAGTTGTTTTCCTACTGTGCTACAGTCCAACCAAATTGAAACTACTCTCGGCATGGCAGAAGCACGACATCTGAACTGGGCCTTAGAATGCTGAAACACCAGAAATATTTATGGAATTTTATTGTGTAGCAAGGAAAGAGCCAATTAGGTATGAAAAAACTAAACCACAAACAGCAATAGTGTTAAGTTTGTGGTTTTGAGACTGGCTCGCATATCCTGAACTGTATTGTGATTGGTCAATGCTACACAACTGACCTGCCAGAATCAAATCAATGTGTTGACGCATTTTTTATTCGCACAATTCATGCATCACATATACTTTCAGCTTCTTCTGACAATGGCCTTTTCAAACATTCACTTATCGATCAGTCAATCAAGTACACTTTTTAGTTGCTTTTCACACGTCACACAATGGTATTCATTCTCGTCACGTGTCACACATAAACCCTTTGCAGCCCTCTTCTTTGCTTTAACTTGATTAACTATTAATGAGTTTGAGAATGTATGATAAGTACTTTACTTCTACTTAGCCACTATACATGTACGTAATTAGAAAATGAAGGTTATTTTCAAGACAATCTTGGCATAATTCCTATCGGCCAAAATTGACTTTAAAAATTATCCTTCTTGCTGACCTGTTTAAAGAGTATGAGACAGACTTCTTTTCACTTAAAAGGAAAATCTAGATTCATGTACTAAAGGTCTGTGCGAGATGGGCTGCATGTGTCAAACAGTGTCACTTCTATAATCCAACCAACTTCAAGCTGAGATCCCACAACTTCTTAGCTGCATCGTCATCCTGGGCACCTTTGCATGGCTCTTTAAAGGCACAATCCGCCAGATATTTGCCGCTTACACCTTCCATCTCTTCTGCAACTGCGCAGTAAATAGTTGTCTGGGCTCCCTGTTCTGCATCCTTGAATAAATACCAGCGGAGTGGAGCCACCAGGGTACTGGACAAAATGGAGTGACGCTGCAAATCTGTACTGACCGCACCCGGATGAAGTGAATTGGCCGTCACATGGCTACCCTCAAGGCGTTTGTTCAGCTCTCGTGTGAAGAGCACATTTGCTAGCTTGCTGTTGAAATAGGCTGGCCAGGCGCTGTAATTCTTCTCCCAGTGGATGTCATCGAAGTTTATCTTCCCAGAGCCCATTGCATGAGCTGACGATGATACGTTGATAATGCGACTCGGCTCCGATTTTTTAATCAAATCAAGGAGCAACATCGTTAGCAGAAAATGGCCAAGGTGGTTGGTTCCAAACTGCATTTCAAATCCATCCTCGGTCTTCTGATAATCGCACGCCATCACACCAGCGTTGTTGATCAGGATGTCAAGACGAGGTTCACTGTTCAGGATCTTGTCAGCGAACTTGCGGACTGAATCTAAAGAGGCCAGGTCTATCTTCAAAAGAAAGACGTCTTTGCTTCCACTTCGTTCTTGTATCTCCTTCAGTGCTGCTGTACCTTTCTCCACGTTGCGACAGCCGATAATCACTCTCGCCCCTCGCTTAGCTAAATCTACTGCAGTTTCTTTACCGATGCCGGTATTTCCGCCAGTGATAACAACTGTTTTGCCTTTCAGGCCTTTGGTGCTGGTGCATCGAGGTCCTTGGAAGAACCTTCTGCCAGCAAAAAGTATGGCAACTGCCGCTGCACCGATCGCAATTGGAACCGCCATCTTGTTTGTTTTAGAAAAGTGACTCAGCAGAGTCAGCAAGGAGACGCCCTGAAGGACACCCGAGGAGTACTAGGCACCATTCTCATCCCCAGAGCCCTCTTGGCGTGAGAAAAGGACATGATTTAATTGGTCGTTTTCTTCCCAAAAAATATAAACTGGTTGATTTTTCTTAGGGTTCGATTCTAGCACCTGCGAACCTTTATTTTTGTTTTGTGTTTCATTATGAAGTATAAAAATAATTATCTTTTGAAATCGTCTATTTACGGCAATTATAGACTGTGCTACTTGCGGCCCGCGGTTTCGGTCGCACGCCCACGACCGCTTTATACTTCTGCTGCGTTCTTCTCCACGGATTTTCGAGCAAAAGGAAGAGTGCTCGCAGTCTACGGCAATTAGCGAAGACAAAAAGTGTGTCCGAGCATTTTATCATTTTATATTCATGATATATAATTGTTACCAACCTCCTCTCTTCTCCTCAGTTCTCGGCGCAGTCGACTGGCTGATTACACAATCTAGGAGATTTCGTGACCACCCAAATAATGGTTGCCATGAAGACTGCTTTCTTCACACAAGTACAAGAAAGTGACTTGTCACGTAAGGTTGAGTCACGCATTGCGCTGAATTTGTTATCGTGAGTATATTAACGGAGGCAGTGCAGAAATGTCAGTTTTTTACCGGGGTTTTTTTTCATTAATGGTGATTTTTCTCTGTTTTCCCAACATACAAAAGTCATGTCATCAAAACAAGAACTGGCGTTACTTTGTTCATGGCTGGCGCCTCTAAAATTTGCACTAACCAAATAGCATGCAACAGGCGCAGGCGGAGGGAACTGTACTGTCATGACGTCATATGTTTTAACAGAAAGGCATTGAAGTCGGGCCACGTTTCTCACTAGAGACCGTATTGAATATTCACGAAAAAATATTTCAAAATACGAGAAATCATAACAGATTGAAATATATCAAAGATATGAAACTTTTTAATTTGTAGCTCTAAGCTTGAATTTGACGCCAAACCGCCAAGTGTCGCTAGGTAGGATAACAGTTGTGTTATTCTCAACGCAATACCTAGTTCCTCGTTAAATCTCGAGTTAATTATTAGGAAAGGCCAAAACAACGGATGAACGTACTTCAGCATTGTCTGTATGTTTGTTAGCCATGAAGATAAAAATAATTTTATCATGCGGTTTTGGTAAGGCAGTACGGCTTTGACTGCATTGGCTCTTTCAATTCTAGTTGTTTATGACCAAAATGGCCAAAATAGCTCCAAGGGTATGGTTTTTGCACTCTATAATAATAATAATAATGATAATGATAATGATAATGATAATGATAATGATAATGATAATGATAATAATAATAAGATAAGATTTGTATAGGTTTGTAATTGGGTGTATTATAAAGAAGACGCTACCTCAGTTTCATCATCATCGATAAGACCATCAACAAACGCCGTTCGTAAATTAAATTTAGGGCAGAATTGAAAGCCGCAACGGTCATAAATAGGGTGCCGAATTTTTGGTCAGGCTATAAATAGGGTAGGGAAAATCGCAGTTTTTTGTCATAAATAGGGTAAGGTTTTTGGGAAGCGGGCCGCAAACCCCCTTCCAATTTTTCTGGGAGTACCTCTCCCGTCAGGGGCAAATCGAGATCAGAAATTATTTTACGCGTTCATTCAAGTGGATTTTTTTAGAGAGTTTCTGGAACAGCTGACCTTTTTCTGCCACCGTGTTGAAAACGTGTCACTGAAAGATTGAAATGGCCAGTGGAGATTTCTTACACGTAATAAGATATCGATGAAAGGAAATTAAACATATTTTGTTATTCATCTAGATGGTGCTAATAATGACATTTGTCGGAACAACCACCCACTTATGCCTAACCTTGGCGAGATTGATTGACATTTTAATTATTATAAATCCTAAAATCAAATACAGTGATCTCCGTGAACGTGATCTAAAGTGAACTACGTGCTTTTATTTAATCAGCAAAAAAGCCTTAAAGCTGTTTGTTCTGTCACAAAGCACGGAATAACCTGATGCCATTAAATTAGACTGACCTGATAAAACACCGCTACTCGTTTATTTAACAATAGATAAAGCACACTGACTTTAAATGCTCCATGTTTATTGAAAAGAAGATTTTTTTTCGTTTTCGCTTTTACAGTATTTAAGGACAGGACAAAAACAAAATAAATGAAAACCTCAGTGACGTTTCCCATCTGCTAGTGATGTATTCGTAGTGTTTTATCTCTCTAAAGAGCTTTGAAGCATTTTACCTTTTGTCTTTTGAAGAACTTTCTGTCATTCAAATCGATACAGCATTGAGTTTACGTTCAATTTTCACCCGAAAATTTACGAAGTAACTTTACAGTTATTTGAATCTGAACTGAGATGATTAATTTACATGTTTGAAGTATTTCCTGTCATGCATAGACATCCTTTGGTAAAGCGTTTTCAGTTCTACGCGCAAGAACATCTTATCTTTATTTTAGCGTTTTTGTCGTCGGCTTCGTTTACAGTTGGCTGTCTACACGTGGGCGCCCTGTTCTAGTTGCCATGTCGACGCATGCTCCATCGAGGGAGCTTAATGTATGGTTTATTACGAAGTGGTGACTTCCTTCCTCGTCCTTGCAAGTTCTACGTGTTTGGTTATTTCTCACCATGCGGCTCGAGAAGGGCAAGGAATTCTGTGGAAATAAAATGAAACATCAGTCAGTTATCGTCAGTCAGTCATCGTCAGTCAACTCGGTTCCTCAGTCACTAAGTTAAGGATCGATCGACCACGAGTATGTTTGGCGCCATTCGTATTTCGGTGCAGCCATCCATCCATAGAGAGGGTCTACACGGGGATACTGTCATTCCAGTTATCAGATGAATGTTAGGCAATTTCTCAGCTATAAAGGAAAATTGCTATCCATTTCTTAGCTAACAGTAAATTTTGCAGATCTCAGTCGGTGAGTCGGTCGCTTAGTCGGTCGGTGCTCATTATCAGTCAGTAACGATGTGAGGCATAATCCCATTTAGTCATCAAGTCAGTACGGTTAGTCAGTGATTCAGTCTGAGTCTCACAGTTACTGAGTCATTCCGTCCGTCCGTCAGTCAGTCCGTCAGTCGGTCAGTCAGTCGGTCAGTCAGTCGGTCAGTCAGTCAGTCAGTTAGTCAGTTATGTCAGGTAGGTAGGTGGTTAGTCATTCAGACAGTCAAGTAGGTGGACGGTCACTCCGTCCGTCCGTCCGTTCGTCAGTCAGTCAGTCAGTCTGTCTGGCAGTCAGTTAGTTAGTCGGTCGGTCGGTCAGTCGGTCGGTCGGTCGGTCAGTCAGTCAATCAGTCAGTAATCAGCAAGCCAGCTAGCTTAAGCCACACTAACCTTGGTATGTAACTTTCTTATCTTCATCCAACTTGGCACTCACTATCATTTCATGCAGCTCGTCCCGCGGAATTCTCTTGTCCATATTTAACAGAATGTAGCGTAACTCCGCTGACTCAATGTACCCTTTGTTGTCGGCGTCGAACACTCGAAAAGCAAGCATCATGTCGGCTTCTCGTTCGTCTGGCTTTTTCTGATCCTCCATTAGTTTGACAAACTCTGGGAAGTCGATCACGCCGTTACCTTCGTGATAAGAACAAACGAACATTATCAGTATCTGATCAGCTAATATTTGAGCGCTAGCTTGAAACACTGTCACGGTCTTCTTTACGTCCAAAACTAAAACTCTTATTTCCCTAATAATTGTATAAGATTCTTGGGAAATTTAGTTTGGAGAAAGGTTTCAATGTAAACGAAGCCGCGTTTTGAACTTTCAAGTACTGGTAGAGACAATACATGGTTGAGACGTTTTTTGGTTGATTCGTTGATTTGTATTTTTTTTTCTCTTGCTTATTTTCTGTCGTCGTGTTAAACTTTGCCGGAAAAGTCTACCTTTTTGTGGCGATGTCACTGTAGGAAACTCTTGGCTAATGCTACTTAGAAAAACCAACACGGCATCGATTTGTTTCAGTAAGTAGTAGATTATTGTTTTCAATGGTAATAAAAGTTTCTTAACCAACTCAAAATGCTTCGTCGTCAGAGTTTTTTCTATCTACTTTTGCTGAGTTAAGGTTTTGAGTTTCATCGAGTTGTTTTTTGTGTCGTTGCCTTTCTTCTCTGGCACTCAGTGATGTTCAGTTTTGTTCAGTTCTGTTCAATACCGCAGTAAATTCATGTTTTCAAAGCTGAAAGTTACTTACGATCTGTCTCTTTGCTTTGCTTTCTCACCATTTCAAACTGCTTGGCCGCCAGAGCTTACTTTTCTTTTTACTTTTCTTGAATTGATATTTTGACTCAAGCTTTGGTAGTTTTAAACCTATATAAGGGTTATTCCCCGAGAGCGTGACGTCACTAATGGATAAACCATACGCCCCCTACAATCCGCTGACGTCCTTCCAAAACTGGCTAGCTTTTAGTTACAGGTGTCACGTTTTCAAAAGAAATCAAGAAACGATCCTTTAAAGCGTATAACGATGTCTTTTAACTGCTAAACGCTACTAGAAAGGCCATAATTTCAAAACCTATTAGTCTATTGTACTTTGTGTGCTAAAGTTATATTTTTCATTTGGTCAAGTTTTGTCCGTTTAATAGCAGATAGAACAATAAACTATTCAAGATTTTGCTCCATTCTACCGTTAAAACCAAAGCAAAATGAATGTCAAAAAATTATTTCTCGAAAACATATCCATTCAGGTTTTAATATTGCCGTTCTACTAGTCTGTTATTTTGAATATTTACTTCAGCGCATTGCAATAACTATATAAGGGGAAAAATTTCTGGGATCCACCGACGTTATGTTTCTTGGAATAGATAATTCTCGGGTAAAAAAAATTAAACTAAAAATATAATTGCTTTTCAAGGAAAAAGTTACCCCACGCAGTCGATTCTTAGTTCTTAATCGCTCTCAAAATTCCCTCATTTTAAACACAACACATTTTTATTCTGAGAGTATGGGCGTTTTAAAGACGTTAAATTATCAGCCATTAAGCTAAAATCCAACATTTCAATGAAAACAAAAATATATCTAGTTTCGTTTATTTGTCGTTGTACCTGGCTCACTGACTATCGCCTATGCATGTTTTAATTTTCTTCGCGCAAGGAGTAAAACCGGACTATCTGCAATAATTTTCGCTTAATAATTTGCGCTTTATCGCAATCTCTCTTCGTTTGCTTAGTAGAAAATAAAATAACTCTTCGACCGTTGATGTACTTCGGCTTAATTTATTAATTACTCTCAATGACTATACATAATAGTTCACTCAAGCGCAATTTCGCGGATTTAAAGCTGCAAGCGTATAGCGAAGAAAGGTATAAATTAAACAAAAAGAAAATATATCGGCACTAAACGATTGAGTGGCAGAAAAAATTTTCGGCAGCCAATGATAAGTAGTATGGTACCTTTTTGTTACTTGATTTTCTTCTTAAACGTTTCACCTTGCATAAAGCACAGGCAATTGTAATATTTTTCCTTGAATTAAAACTGGAAACGTGATTAAAAAGATTTATGCCCGGGGGATCGACGATGAAATATAAATTTCAAGTACACTGCGGATATCGCATTAAATACTTCCAACTGGCTATGATATCTGAACATTATTTACTGAGATTTTAGTTTTTCTGAATCTCAAGACAAAGAGATATCTGACGGCTAGATTATATCGGTGTTTAAAGTATTATTATATAATTTTACATCGCGTGCTTCCGAGAATATAATCAAAGCACGCCTGTCAACATTTAAACGCTTAAAGCGATAACAAATTTTCCTTCAATATTACATTTTTAAGTCAGTGACAATTAATAAGAGTTGTAACTTGCCGTACACGCAAATTGCATTTTTTTTTCTCTTTAATTTGGACAATTTTCATAAGTATCGATACAGATCAGGTACTAGACATAATTTTAATTTTCCCAATCGATTTTCTTTATTTGCGGATTGTGACATTTAGTTTCCTTTTTAGCATGTGAATTGATTGAAACTTTAAGTTATTCTAAATTAAAATCCTCTGACGTGTCTCTCGTGGGCTGACTCCTCCGATAGCATGTTATCGGCGTGTTTTGACCTAACATATTGTTGTTCTCACGCGAAAAATAAACTTATAATTTAGAAATAGCCATAACGAAAAGTAAAAACGACAGTCAACTCCGGGGGTTTGGGGGTACCGCTTTATATGGGCTATATTGGTATACGTTCGGCCCTAAAGGGCATGGTTTTTGAGCGATTTTGGTGTTAATAAGTACAGACTGTAACCATTTTGGTCTTAAATAGGGACTGTGTTTCACTCTGGTTGGATATTTGTTTACAAGGAACTAATTTGTCCGAATCAACATTGGCAAATTTGTAGACCTTCGCAAATGCTTAGGCAAGTGCAAGCCATGTGTGTTCAGCTGCAGTCATTAAGCCGTTTTTTAATTTTAGAGTTCTGAAATGGGGTATCGACTTTTGGCTCAGGCCGGAAATAGGGTATGGAAAACCACAGTCTGAAATAGGGTTCAGGTTTCAAGGTTTGGGCCGCACAACCCCGCTAAAAACTTTGGGGAGGACCCCACCCCCTCCCGTTCATTACTCAATATATTTTTCAGTCAATTATCAAACGAAAGTTTTCACTCTTCCAACCCACGCTGTGATATTTTTTTTAACTAGAAGTAGAAGATTTATATTAAGATAGATAAGTCAGATATAATTTTATCTATTTGAACTGATACGCTGAGTTTAAAGACACTTCACGTCGAAGTTTGGAATGCGCGAAATCAAAGCACAAACAGAATTTTAAAATCACGTCTGGGAGCAATTTTCATTCTCAGACGTGATGTAGTCGACGTGTAAATAACATGTGCTATCGGCGTGTTTTAATAATGTTGTTTACATGAAAAATAAACACAATTTGATGCATAATCGTTAAAAATAGTAAACTCAGTATACGTATTAATTGTATTGCAACATAAACCCCACATTCGCACTTTTCTAGCGTGGAGCCCACGTAGTTCAACTTCTTTTTCCAACACGTTCTGTCATGTGTTGAAAACACCGCTATTTGAAAACAATCATTCTATTGCGCTCGCTACCAAAGCCATTATCAATATCGGCATACTATGTTTTGGGTGACTTTATTTTGACACTTAAAATAATGTATGTTAAGTTAGATATTGATCACCATTAGACCAATTTCGACATATTAAAATTCAGCTTAAAACAATAAACCTCAGCACGAGGCTCTGGAGAATAAACCCCACAAACTCTGTATTCATTCCCCAGAACCTCGCACTGAGGTCTATTGTTTTAGGCTGAATATTTCTAATATATCGAAATTGGTCTACTACGTTTGTAAAGGTCATTCATACACCAAAGCCTGTCTCGCGAAACAATACGTCGGTATGTTGAATCTCCGGCCTTTTTAAACTAGGAAGATCTGCTGCTAGCGCCGAACACGACATTTGAGAGTAGCCATTAGATACTTTCCTTGGTCAGTGAATAAAAGTAAGAAGACTAAGTGTCAGGACTTCTTTGTTGCGACTGGCGGAAAAACAGGACGGCTGCATAGCAATTAGTTTCATAAAAGGAGTCCGCCTAACCCTAGCTATAAACGTATACCTAATTAAACAGTTTGAGAACAATATGTATCATAAATGCCGGCAATGGTTGCCGTTAACGGTCGATGTCAAATACAGCACAGCAGTAAATTGTTGAGACCATCTATAATCGTCGTTGGCATTACAACTGTCTACTAATGGCGGACATCGTATGATTTTTGGTCGGCTGAATTTCTGTTTAAAATGGGCTTGACAGGCCCGCATGGCTGGTATCAGTTTAGCCTCTTTCATAGTTTGGCTTTTATCAGCATGTCTTTGAGCGACCGTTCCCTTTTGTATGAGAAAAGGGGGCGGGCCTTTGTAAATTTCGGTAAGCAATGGACGTTGCTGTGTTAAATGCAAGTTTTCATAAGGATTTGCCCCGATGGTTAAGCTAATGTAAAATTTGTTTCTTCTCGTTTTGTTTTTGCTTTGTTGGAGGGTTTAACTTCCTGCCCTCAAAATTCACATCTGAGAGGGTCATTTCTAAAAGATTCAGTGAGTAGCCCATCTCAAACAGGTGTGATTTGAATTTTTCAATTTCCTCTTCAAATATTGGTTTAGAAGATTTTGTTCTGAGAAGTATTAGGGCCCTTCGTTTGTACCCTCTGCCGATCGGCGGCAGGGGGTACAAAGTGTAAATTGAAACGTGGGTCTGTCGCACATTAAGAACTGAGCTATTTTTTAATCTTTTGCCTTAATGTCAGAACGTTGTTTTCGTTTCAGAAAATTTCGTGTCGCATACACGCAGAAGCTTGCGGGCGGCAATGGCGATTAGTATATAATAGCGTTACTTGATTGAGGTTCACGGTGATTCAGGGAGAAGGAAGGAAACATCCTGAATACACGAGCTCATGCTGTCTCCGTCTATCACACTGAAACACCTTGATTTTAAATCAGAAAACCGCGTGAACCACCATTGAACAAAATATCTTCTAACATTGTCGCGTTGGCTTTTATACTTTGTGGGACAACGTGTCTCGAAAAAGTTGTACATACAGTTGGAGTATTGGGTTTCCCATCCATACCCGGAGAGAGGGGGGAAGGGAGGGAATACTCCCAGAAACATTGGGTGGTGATGTGCGGCCAGCTTCCCAAAACCCTTACCCTATTTCAGACTAAAATCTGCGATTTTCCCTGCCGTATTTCAGACTGGGCCAAAAATTCGATACCCTATTTCAGACCTGCTTTATAATCAGTTTCCTAGTTACGTTCAATGTTCAAGTCAATGTTTGTATACTTTTATTAGGTAGGACAAAGTTCGAGTGACCAAAACTCAAATGAAAACTGTAAATGAACAAATGTCACTGACCGCAGGGGTCGCGTGGGCCCATCAACCCCATTTTACGCACAAACCGTACCCCATTTCAGACGAAAATCGCCAGAACAAAAATGGCCAAAATCTATACCCTATGTCAGACTAAAACGGCTAAAAACCACACCCTTTAGATCCACACCCACCTTTATAGCCCATAAAAGGGACTACGCCCTCCCCGGAATCCATACCAGAAATACATACTTACCATCGTAATCAACTGAGTTGATCATGACCTGCAGCTCGTGATCTGTAGGATTAAAGCCTAGTGACCTCATAACGGAGCCCAGTTCCCTTGTTGTTATAATGCCATTACTGTCGCGATCGAACAAACAGAAAGCGTCTTTATATTCTACGAAAGAATAAAATAATTTAGAGTGACTATTGAGTGGTATGAGCTCCGTTGAAACATCGATCAACCACTTAATACTGACTTTCGACTAACATCACTCTACACTGTAAAGCCAAAAGATCTGTTGGAGCCCTAAGGTGACAATTTCGGCCAAACAGCTTTGAATTATTTAAGCTCCTTCTGGAACTTATTTCAGCCTGTGGTTCCATATTAACCCATGACAGTTAGACCACTTTGGCCTTAATTTAGGTAGGTACTGTATTTTACTCACCGAATAGGCCCAGAGCCTAAAAAAAAATCGTTAAAATTAACAGTGTAGACAAGACTCATCTTTAAATTGTCTTGTCCAAATTTGCAAAGGCAAACGCACCCCGGGCCAGGATGTTCAAAGCCCGATTAAGCTAACCCAACTATGATTTTAGTTTTGTAACTTTCCCGTGAGGTTTTCCGCTCATAATGGTTGCCCTTCAGTTTTGAGCTTGAGTAATCTCAAACTACACCAAACAAAAGCAGTGAAATTAACATTTTTATACAAGATAAATTAATACTTCAGTTAACTTTTAATCCTGCGTTGGCGTTAGCCAGCTTTCGAACAACCCGACTTCATATTCAATCTGGCGCCGTTTGATATAAAATCCAGCTCGCCTTGACCATCACAATCGCCATTTCGTTGCCTAGGCAAGTGGAATTAC